TATAAAAAATTAACCAACAAAACTTGTTAAAAATTTTAAATCAATATTTTTATCAATGAAGAATACTTTTATTCTAAACCCACGCCATTAATATTTGTGTCAACTAGAAGTCTTCCGTCGTTATCAATGTTGTTATTGTCATAATAGATTATTTTATGTAGGTATAATAGGTACATATTTGATAATTTTCCCTAGCCTTAGAAAAGTCATATAGGGTGGGTGTTTAAGTTAAAATTACTATAGACAATAGCTAATAGAAATAAAAAAAAAACATAGGTAGCCCTTATTATTTTAAAGCCATTTATATTTATTAACAAATAACAGGCATACACTACACTACTAAACATATATAGCAGCAGTTCCCAACCTTTTTAGCAGGCGGTGCTCTATTGTTTGTACAAATTTTGTTAGGTGCCCTTCTGTAAATATCACGAGGAATGTGATAAAAATAAACACTAGTTTTCATTCATAACTGATTTAAATAATTTTGTCGAACATATTATTAACAAATTATAATTTTATAGTTGAAAGTAAAAAGAAAAAATTCTGTTTTAATATTGAAAAACTAATAATTAATGAGATATTTGAGGCTGTTTATTTTTGGAAAATTTGGCAATATTTTTATCTATTATTGAATTATTCGACAAGTCATATTAGAAACACTATATTTAACATTGGATATACAGATAGTATTCTAAGTAATTTTGTACGTAAGATAATTTTTTGTCTTTTCAACTACAATACATTTTTTATTTTTAATATATAATTTAATAATTTTTTTCATTCTCGGATGAGCCATGCATGGCGCCCCTTAAATGAGCTCGTGGTGTACAGGTTGGGAACCGCTGATATATAGTGTAATATACGTAGATTAGTGTAGTTGGTTATTTAATATTATTCACTATAGTCTATAGACATATTGTATTATACCATATAATATATAATATAATATAATATTGTATGATACCCGAGTATACAATTTTACMGAGTGCAATAATTTCAAACACGTAGGTTCGATTCTTTATTTGTTTCTAAAATTAATTCGGTTCCTACCAGGAAAGTATTTTTCACATGTTCATGTCCCACCCATTAACCATATTTTATACTTTTTATTACAAAATTAAACCGTTTAAAAAAAAAAAATATGAGTTTTAACTTTGTATAACTTGAATTATCTGTTTATACCCCCTCCCCTCAATCATGATAAATTTCTAAATATCCCCTTAGTACCTAAGTTACATCGGTTACATCTAATCCATTTTTATGTTAATTCTCCAATTATATTTAATATTTAGATATATTAGAATCGAAGACAAAATATATATTATTTTTAAAATGTACCATTACCTACTTATACACTTCGTCCTTGTTTAATTTTTCTGTATACAATTTGGGTATAAAGTTACCACATTTACCATTGTAAGATTTAAGTGATGTAATTTAATATTAAAGTTGATTATTCAATATTACATTATTATAAACTATTTTGTATGTATACAGAATTCCCTCGTTATCCGCTGATGTTAGGTTCTAGCAAATTTGCGTAGATAACAAAACCGTGAATAACGAGACCACTATAAAACCATGTAAAGTTTGTTTAATAGTGATAAAATACATTGGTTATTAAACAAAGGCTATTTTCAATTTAAACGTGGATAATAGAAACCGTGGTTAAAAAATCCGTGGATAACGAGGGATATCTATAATACTTATATATTATTATATTCGTGATGATATTTATATATTCTAATTGTTATATTTATTTAATTGTTAATGTATTTTAATAAGTAAAAATAATTAAACGACTATTTYACATTTGAAAGAATATATTTTTATTATTATTATTATCATCATCATGACGCATTTAACTTGATATGAATTTTATGCTCACACAACGTCATAGTTATTTTACCATATGTCATCAATCATCATCCATCGCTTCCCATTTCGAATGCCAATTATAAAGATTAGAATATTTCAGCAGAATATACGTATTGCGTAACAGTTATCCTATAATATGATAATAACATTTTGCTCGGATCATAATAAAGATTATAGATTGCTTGTATTGATCCGCAACATTTAAAATTCTAAATTGACGAGTTTCAAATCTGATGACAAATTCTAAGCAGATTGTTAGGTGCCATTGGTTTGTGAACAAATATTCAATGAGATAAAGATTATAAAAATAAAGAGACGTAGCATCATCAAATTAGGCAGATAACTGTTTAAGAATTTTAGAGTTATGTCACACGAGCGTTCAATCAACGGACGTTACTTTTCCAATAAATTACACAAGCTATAAGAACAACGTCAGTTTTCATCAATATGGATGACCAGGAAGTTGYGATTTCTGTATAAACTGCTTTGAAAATTATTCGCAAAAAAAAAAAGAATGCAAAGAAAATGGTGGGTGCACCCAATTAATGGTGAAAGATTATTGCATGGTGATTTTCACACCCTTTAGATTGAATTGCGAGCTGATAATGTAAGTTKTTTTAATTGCTTTCGTGTCTGTTACGTCATTTGATGACATTTTTATTAAAATTTAACACAATATTGAACTCAAGATACGAATATGAGATCAGCGATACCACCCAAAGAAATGGTTGCTGTTACTCTAAGGTAAGTAAAAATAAAATAAATTATCATTATTATTGATAGTTTTAGATTCATATTATAATATTAGCATTAATTTACAAGTAATTATTAAAAATAAATATACAATCTTGCATATTATAATAAGTATTGAAAATAATTATGTGCACATAATCTTACATGTAAGAAGAAAATAATTGATTAACTTGAAACATTTTAAAATTATACAAGTTTTGTACTTTTGACAATTTTTAAATAAAAAAAATAAAAATATTGTTACTACAAATCATAAAAATTCGTCATTTGTTGATTGGTTTGATGGTGGATTTTGATCTTCTGGAGAAAACTGTGTTTAATATGTCTGTATAGAATTAGAAGAAGATGCTGAGTTTGAATGCAATGCATTTGGTTGCAAATATTGGTTGTTACATGTATAACATATTGTGATGAGGATTAGGTGCAACAGTAAAAGTATGAGGGATTGAAGACTGTCACGAACACTTCTCCATTTTTAAATAACTTCTTGTATTATAAAACGCAAATTTATTTAATCTTAGATTCTRAGTATTAAGTGGAATGAAGTATGTATTAATTTTACATTGATTTATTTTTTAGAATTTATAAGTAGGAAAAATATTAAATTTTTATATTTTTAGATACTTGGGAAGTTCAAATAACCTTCATGTACCTACGTGTATATAGTTGGTTGATCTACTGTAACATACTGATACATACTACATAGATTGTCTCGGGCAAGGCGTTACGTAAAATGTTCGTTCGGAATTATCAAATAAGTGGAGAACATTCCAGTGACCAATTGATGATARTGGGGAATTTGGTATTGATATTGTTAAATGTTGTCACGTGTTACATCATTTTGTAAGTGACCGTGACGGTTTTAAATTCGAAGATACCTTTAACAATTACAGGAATGGAGGATCTCGAAAATTATAATAATGTATACACCTGTGACGTTTATATATAAATAGAATAGTATAGATATCGGGATGCTCTAGCTAACTATCTTGTTTCTGAATATGGAGTTTACCTTACATGGAATTACCTAGGCAAAATTAAATTAAATTTTTATATTCATTATATATAATAATAATATTATGTATCATTTACACCTCTGTATTTTATATTTTTCAATTACCTATATCGTGTCTTGATTTGATATTTTCAATAAATAATTATATAATAATAAACAATAAACAAATTGCATATTTCAGCTGTTATATCTCTGGATCTAAAATAAATGAATTCGGTTCTTCACAGCATAATCAATTTAGATTTACAACTTATAAATTTAATTACACCTAAATTGTAGTTATTGGTCATTGAAACTTATTGCTAAACATTGTTTCTATTCACCCACAATAACGGTAACTAGTATCTACTTAATATTTACCGATTATTTTTTTTTTCAATTTCGGTGTTATTAAAATTGTCATAAAAAGCAGACGTAACGGTCAATCAAGCTTCATTTTTTTCAGTTTCCATACTGAACAATTTTAATTGAACTTCAAAGAATTTAAATAATTTAACTCAAAATATTAGTTGTATAAAATTAATAATATATTTTGGCTTCTACAAGTGAAAAACATGTACTAAAATACTGAAAAATTTACAAAAACGGACGTTAAAACAACGTCCGTGTTACCTCGCCCTTAAAMATACTAACGCCGGGACTTCGGGTTGCATGAAAAATGTATTGTTGAATGCTTCAATAAAATTTAATGGGTCAACCATGGGCTACTAAATCATGTGTAAAATACCATTGGCATTTAGCTTACTATCGAATAATTGTTAATGTAACCCAACATTAGTCTCTAACATAGCGTCGATGAACATGTTATCAACATATATATTTCAAGTCTTAAAAAAAATCAAATATCTACATTAAAATTTAGTTTGAAGTGTTTGGGACACATCATTTTTTTTTTTTTTAAAGAAATTTACAATCTATACCTTAGGCACAATGAGTAAATGTAATATGGTATAAGGTATCAAAACAATTAATATTAATAATAAAAAGAGTTTACAATAAATTATATAGTACATGTTATAATCATAAAAAAATTAAATCATTTTTTGAATTAAAAAAATTATTTTAATATAAAATATGTAAAATTATATTGGTTTACAGACCCGTTGTTATTTATGTCACAGATCTTCAATTGTCCATATCTTGTTGATAATTTTTATATTGCTATCAAAAAACGCTTTTTTATGATTTTTTTTAAAATTATTCAATTATTATTGCTACAATTTATTAATAATAATACAATATACACCTAAATTATATATACATCAAAATACAATAAAAAAAAAAAAAAATGTATATATTAAAATTTAATTATTTATATTTTTTGTAACACGGTTTGGACATTGCATTGCAGGAAGACGACGACTTTCTGGCATCGGTACCAGGCACTAGCGACCAACAAGTTTTGGCCCAAGAACAGACGAAATCTTCAGCCACAGCACCGGCAGTGGCGCCGCTGGAAGACGACAGCGAAGTGACATTCGATGCCAACAAAGTTACTCTACAGGTTCCGGACAGGCTATTTGGTCCCAGTTTCACGGCTGTCAACGGCATATCACAAGCCATCGGCAACGTTATACAGGTATACAATACACTAATTTGATGGTAAGAACATTATTTGTGTTTGTTTGTGGGTTACTTTATGATACTTCAATTTTTTTATTAAGTAATGTGTATTTTATATAATTACGTAAATCAAAAAACTTATAACTAATTTAAAAACTGAATTAAAGTAAAACACTCATAAACACAAATAATATTCTTACTTTCAAGTTTCATAATAGATCAATTCACTCTGATTTTCAAACTCAAACGAAGCTAAACGTAATCTCCGTTAGTTTAAAAATTGGAGTGAATTGACTTCTTATAAAATGTAAAGCTAAGATTATTATTTAGGGCAAATTATTTACATTTTTAAAATGCTCATAATTCGATTTAAAATTAAAATTTAACAAAAATACTATAAGATATCCTAATAAAAATATCAGCTTTAAATTTTATAAGAGGTTAATCAACTCAAATTTTTAAGTTAGCAAAGCATAATCTACTGAACGCACAATTTACTATGTTATATGCCTACTTGTGAAACGGAAACCACAAATGTTTGTGGAGTATCAACACTTACAAAAAAGTATTATACTATTAAACTGATTTTGATAATATCACATCCTCTATTCAGGATCGTCTATTCTTTAAATTCAACGTTGTAGTTTAAGAATAATACATTTAAAATTAAAAAATTGAACCAAGAATAWATTATAAATTAATTCACTGGTAAAAAGTTTTTCTACAAAGTTTTCGATGGTCAAAATGCCATGTATAATATCAGTGTTGGAAAGTATTTGAATAAAAGTATTCAAATACTTTTTTACGTATTGAATACTTTTTAAAATACTTTTATTTTTGAAGTGTTTAAACGATATTTTAAATAAATTTTTTTAGTATTGAATACTATTTTATTGAATACTTTTTTTATTCCTTTAATTCTTTATTCATTGTCAAATAATAATAATGTCATAATAATATTATAAATATAATATTATTTTATCATTTATGAACAATTTGATATCGGTTTTAGTTTTCGTCTATTAATAGCCTAACTAAATATGTTTTACTTCGAGAAACCGTCTGTTTACCGTCGACGACGATCGCAATAATTCGCAACGGTACGTTATCGGTACCTACTACCTAGCAGTGCGTCAGTAGAGAGAGTGTTTAATGTTGGTGGTGCAACAATCACCAAAAAAAGAACTAAAATGACTGATAAACATTTCGAACAAATTATGTTCTTAAAATGCAACACACAAATGTTCGATTAATATTATATATTAATATATTATGAATGATTCAGAATTAAATTGATTTTTTTGTTTTGTATTTGAAAATTATGTCAAATACTTTTAAAAAGTATTTTTTACAACACTGTATAATATAACCCTCACTTATAAATAACAAAATATTACATTTTCTTGTGTTTAACCAATTGTAACCCACCATTTAACTACTATAATTTTAATATTTATCTTAATAATTTATCCTAACGCCGTAACCCAATAAGATAAATAGTGACAAATGCTGTAAACTTCATAAAAATGTTTTCAAGAATTAAAATATTTTATGAATGTTATCAAGTATTAAAAATGCCAGAATAAAATATTCAGTTAAAATTTCATGTACCTACGCTAATTCGTTTTAGAGTTACACCAATATCCAAAATTGATTTTCTCAAAAACCGGTTTAGCATAAAAATCCCCGTTTTTTCAAAATTTTTTTCCTAGCGCTTTTGAAAAATACTAAGAATTTAAAATTTTGACCCTCTCAATACAATAATTAGATTCAACTTCCCATCGGAAAAGCTACTGAAGTGGAAAATCTGGGCATTATTTCGACAAACTATCATGTGAAAAACACAAAAAAAATAAAAAAATAAAAAAAAAACACATATTATTGTAAAATTAAATTAATATCACTCCGCTARGAATCTAAAAGTAAAGATGCTTGAATTTACAACAAGTTTATTTAGCCAAAGCTCATTTTTATTTTTAAGATTCAATCTTTTAATTATTAAATATTGATTTATATAATTTTAAACATTTATTACTTATCAAAAAAGCTAGGTAGGTAGCTTAAATTAAAAAATATCTTAACTTATGTATAATTTTCGTGGTAAACGTGTTTATGGATGTATCTAGTCTTGTCGGTTGCCAGTTTTGTGGAAGAAAACATTGTCTACATAGTACATATTAATGATTAATAATTATCTACTAGGTATATGCTTAATTATAATAAACTAAGTTTTAATCGAATGAAAGAATTTCCTATACTTACATAGTTCATTAAAAATTATAAATTTGTCTCACGTCACTTTTGCCATACCTGATATGTTATCTCCGTCTAATAAACATAGCAAATTAATTTTAGTAGAATATTTATTCTATTATTAAAGATAACCACACAATATAGGTTCTGCTGAACGAAAAATTTCTGTTGTATGTTTATAAGACACAGGCAAGTGACAACACATGTCATGTAGGACGTTAGATGTATTCTTAATTATATTTAGTCCTCGCCGTATTCATGAAAAATGATTTTTAGTTTTATATAAAATATATATTATATATTATTTTATTATCATTGTCATTTCCATTGTTGTCATCCAGAACGCAGCTGGCAGATTGGCTCGGCTCGTGGACGCTATCAAGGCGGCCATTTGGCGCAAAGCGGCCAGCCTCTCGTCTATCAGTAATTCGAGTGGTAGTTTTGGTGGCAACGGAGGCTCATCAGGCACGTTAACGGCAAACAGAGGATCTCGAGACGCAGCGRCTGATCTGCATAGCAACGACGGATTGGACTTGGACCCACTTGATGAGGCAGCGTCCGCGCCGTCTGCGTCATCCAAGAAACTCAATGCGACTGATTTGGGTGCAGATGCCACTAATACAGGTGGTGGAAGCAACAAGTGATACTGCCGTAGTGACGGTTCATAACAGTCGTTGTATATTAGCTGTCATTCCATTAGCATAGCAATAAAGTTTTTGTKACCGAATAATAATACTATTGTGATATCGTACGTCTACCTATCGAACGATGTGTAAATATTACGATGTATGAATATTATACAAGGTGGATGTCAGCTCAACGATCGATTCCTCTCATTATTAAAAACTGTTGAAATCTTATAATTTATAATACTTATTTTTGGTTACATTTCATGAGTATTTGTAAGATATAACTTACGTCTTGCATGATGGTCGAGTATCGTCGACTTCAAAATTTCATATTACCTTCCATTTTTATAATATACAGGCGCGCATACAATGAAGGCGTCGGAATATTTTCAAAAAAAAAAAGATTCTAAATGGATATTATATACATGGGCGATGGGCTTTCATGATTTTTTATAAAGATAAAATACTTTTATGACAACGTAATATTGAGTCTATTAAATCGTTTCCTTTACATGCGCCTGAAAATACAATATATTGCCTTTTTTTTATTATAAAATATATATTTTTTAACGAATTTAAGATTTTACTCTTTTACACAATTTTCGGTAATTTAAAAGATTGGCGATATTTATGAACGATTGTCTTCGCTCTGTGTGTATCTATTATATAAATAGTGCACGAGTATAATATTATATACATTTAAAAAAAAATACGGTAGACCTGAATATAGTTTATGTTTAAATTGCATGTATATCTAAGTGTAAACGGGGATTTTTTTGTTGTAAATAATTATTATTTATAGATATTAAATATGTTATACTATTATTATGTTTTTAAATGATAATCAAAACTAAATAGAAAACATGTATTATAACCTAGGTATAGTGAATATATGAGAGTATGAACATTTTACCTAATATTATTGCCATGTTTACATACGTATATCATAAACTATTAATTACAAATAATAATATTAACTATAATCTATATAGGTTATAGAATGTATAATGTATATCGTCAACATTTGTAGTTGCACACCTCATATTGTACATTATTATTATAAGAGCAATTTTTTTCACAGAGTGTTGAATTTTTATATTGTAATATTTAGTTGTATATTGTTGTGTACCTATCTTGGGTATAAAAGGGCCTGTGATCAATTGTATTTATAAATTAGTAGATTTTTATACATTGAGTGTTTACTTATAAACTAWTACTCGTGTACCAAAATACACGTTATATTAATCAATTGCAAATGTTATTATTATTGGTTGTAGTATTGTACCTAGATCCTATTATTTTCTGTAACACATATTGATGTAGATCCAATGCAAGTTAGGTTACTTGGCATATTTATTGTTCATTCTATAAAAAAAATAAAGAATAAAAGGATTCTAGCTGTTTTTATGTGATTACCAACTGACGCGATGCCGCGTTATAGCCGCTTGAATACAAACAGCAAATACTGTAAATGATAATACAGGACACTCAAATCTAAACAATAGAGACCAACTAGGCCCTAAATATAACTATTATTGCCCATATTTGTGCCTTAAAGTAAATAGTATTTCCTACCTAAATAATAATTTATACACTGAACCAAATATCACTGGTATAAATAATAATATGCAATTATCAATTTTTAATAAATATGCATTTATTGAAATAATAATAATTTTATTAGTTATACAAAAATATTATAAAATTAATAAATAATGTGTTTATGATAATAAATTGGGTTTGTAGAATTTAGAAAATATTTAGGTAATAAATTAATAAATTAAATTTTTAAAATGGAACTTTTTTTTATTATTTTGATCAAATAAATTATTAAATTAATAAACATTATGTTCAAAATAACAATTTGGTTTTTAGATCTTACAAAATATAAAAGTTATCATTTAACAAAATATAGTTGAACAATTAATACAGATTTTATTAATTTAAAAATGTATAGTATTAAATGTATAAATATTATGTTTAAAATAACAATTTGGCTCAATACTTCTATATATTTTCATAAAGAACATTATTAACTTATGTCTTCAATCTTCAAACATCGAGATTAGGCATAAATTATTAAAAAGTATTACGTATATAACCCCTTAAAAAGCGGAAGTGTGGAGTAGTCCTCTTAAGAAACCGACACATGCCTGTAAACATCATGCTTGTAAACAATTGTTTTGCGAGAAAAAGAAATTTATTCCTACTCAATACTAAAGAAGACAATAATTTCCGTCGTACCATTTTTCCAATTGTTATCATTGAAACAAAAAAATTATTGTTATTTAAAATCCGTTTTTAAAAAAGTTTTTTCAAATTTCAATAACTATTTTTTGTACCTTACTTTATATATGTTATGATGTTCGCGGTAAATTATGAATTCAGTATTATAGATAATTATCTTTTTAAATTGTATATTCTGAAGTAGCTGTACCTACCTATATGAAAAAAATGAAACTAAGGATTACGAGGGGTCGCTTAATTTGAAGGTAAGTATGGTATTGTTATTACTTATATCTTATACTATACTAGTTAGTAGTAACTATTAAGCTTTAATGCTAGTGGTACCGGTATTTTATTTTAAACCTTATCCAGATACCTACACAATTTTTCTAATAATTAAGTATGTGAGATTGTACGTATTCTCTGGAAATCTGAATTAGCTAATCGTCTTACTACAGATAGTAGGTACACAACTACACAAGTTATATTGAGTATATTATGAAAGTTTTACTGCGCAAACTATGGTTTACTTATTTTAGTTATCAATAATGTCATGTTACGAGAAAAGTCTAATGAGATCGCAAAATAAGATTTCAACCATTTTCCACTCATACATTCAAAATTATAGACCAGCTAGTCATTACTCCAGAGTTTGACATCGAACAGAACGTTTGTCTAGTGTCTTTGCTCTCTGCTGCCTATAGCTATCGCCTGTCGTATTCTGACATTCAATTCTGAATTAAAATCTGTGTAAGTACAATGTACATATAGATATTATAGTTTTAAATATGCAATATAGTTTTTATACAGAATAGTTTTTTTTTTTTATGTAGTCGCTGATCATTTACTGAAATTCATTTTAATTTAGTCATCAATCATTTTGAAATTTTCGTATTTTTCAAAGTTTTATTTCAATGTAATTTGTAGTGCAAAGATTAAAAATAATACACCTATTATAGATCTATGTYTTTAAAAAAAAAATTATTACTTTTTAAATTGATGATTATTAGTTTTTACATTTTTGTACCAATATATACCTATATTTTAAATTTATAATATTCTAAATGTATGTTTGATGTATAAATATTGAAAGTTGGACTTAGTTGTCACTAGTTTTATTACCAGTAATTTTTTTTATATATATACAGTAACCACTGTGCACATTTTAACTTTATGATGTAAATTATGATAATTCATTAACTAATATGGTACAACACTACAAATTTATACATCAACTGTCATTCACATTTTCATAAAAATTGTGTTTTCTAGTTTAGATTTTCTAAGTCTAAAATAGAAGTACAATAAAATAAAGCATGCTTAATCAACAAGATAGAAAATAGTAATAAATGAAGGCTCATAATAGTTTTTTTTAGGATAATTAATAAATTTGTAGATATATCTTATATTATACAATTGTTTAGTTAATAAATAACCTATTTGCTTATATCAAATAACATATGTTTATATAATATAATAGAGTTTATTATTATATTGTTTTAAGTGCTACTATTATTAAATACCTAATATGATTTGTTTTATTTGTAAAAAAAATATTTTAACTTTTTCGGCACTGATGGTACATTATAAAATAATTCACTTACTAAAATCTTCAAGTACATATGAGTGTACAGAATTTGGATGTACTCAATCATTTCCTAATTTAAAAAATTTTAAAAGACACGTATCAATAAATCATGCAAGGAAATCTATTACTGTACCAACTCGATCAACAATATATAATAATTTAAACAATAATAATGAATGTGGTTATATTAATATAAATTTGAATCACATAATAGATTCACCTCAACATGTGAACCATAATTATGCCACCATTGATACCTATAACACCCCTGATGACAACCCCATATTACTTGCACCTGTAGATGATATTTTTGACATTGATAATGTTATCAACTCGTTTCATACTTCTTCAGTAAAATTTACCTTATCATTGCTTAGTAAAAATAATTTTAGTAGAAAAGATGTTTTCGAAATCCAACRTGAAATAGAAAAAAATTTAATTGAACCAATAGAAAACTTAATTACTAGTTTCACACAAAAATTAATTAAAGAATCTATTTGATTATCAACTTTACACACAATTAMAACAGCAATTACAAATACATTTGATTTTTGTAGCACAGAGTTTTCTTTAAACAGTTGGTTAATCAATAATAATTTATTTAATAATATCCAACAATTTAATATAAGTGATGAAATTAATTTAGTTTGTAATGATGGTGAAACAATATATAATGACAGTGTTACCAAAGGTGTATTATTACCATTACATTTTCAATTTAAAACTTTTTTTGAACATGAAAACAATTTTTATATCACTTTAAAAATGTATGAACAGCTAAAAATCAGTTCACACGCATCTGTACATTCTGTTTCAGCAATTTATTATAGTTTCCCTTTATCTGATCAATCAAAACTTATAAACATACATTTAGCTGCTCTAATAAAGGCTGTAGACATGAAGGAATTTGGAAATGATTTATGTTTAAATTAATTAATAAGCCAAATAAATGATATTGAGGTAAATGGAATCAATATAGTTACCCAAAATGGTATACAAGAAGTACATTTTATTTTAGGTTTATTTCTTGGAGACAATTTAGCTTTAAATAGTGTTAGTGAATTTAGTAAATCTTTCATATCTACTGTTTTTATTAATACACAAGATGGCTTCAAAGAAGTACATTTTATTTTAGGTTTATTTCTTGGAGACAATTTAGCTTTAAATAGTGTTAGTGAATTTAGTAAATCTTTCATATCTACTGTTTTTATTAATACACAAGATGGCTTCAAAGAAGTACATTTTATTTTAGGACTATTTCTTGGTGATAATTTAGGATTAAACACTATTACTGAATTTAGTAAATCATTTTCAGCAAATTTTTTTCGTAGGTTTTGTAAGGTTCATAAAACAATAACTAAACATTTATGTAAAGAAAATCCTTCATTACTCCGTAATTCTTTAAAGTATGTAGATGATATTGCGATTAATGACTTCAAGCAAACTGGTATTTATAAAGATTCAGTTTTAAATAAGATAAATTCTTTTCATGTAACTACTAATTATAGTATTGATATTATGSATGATATCTTCGAAGGTATTTGTCATTATAATTTGTGTAATATAATTAATTATTATACTGAGGAGGTCAAGATATTTTCTCTAGAAACATTAAATTATAGAAAAAAGCATTTTAACTATGGCCCTATAGAAGTAGGAAATATATCACCTCCTATAAAACCTATTCATATAACAAACTTTCACTTAAAAATGTCAGCGAGAGAAATGATGACATTTATTTATTATTTTTCTTTAATGATAGGAGATTTAGTTCCAGAGGATGATAATGTGTGGTCATTTTATTTTTATTTTTTGGAAATCATTGAAATTTTACTCATATGTCAAATTTCCTTTGCAACAATTTTCCATCTACAACAACTAATAGAAAAGCATAATTATGAATATATCACATTGTTCAAGGATACGTTAAAACCTAAACACCATCTATTAGTTCATTATCTAAATATTATCAAATACTCTGGTCCTCCAAAACATTTTTGTTGTTTTAGATATGAGGCCAAACACAAAGAGATGAAACTATATGCACATGCAATTACATCAAGGAAAACTATTTGTTTGTCCTCAGCCAAAAAATATCAAAACAAATTTGCATACAATATTCTAAATTCTTCTCTTAAGAGGACGCTACACCCGCATGTGTTGTCTCCGTCTTACAAGTACGTAACATTGCAAAAACTGTTTCGCGCGGGAAAGAACCGAGAAGGCTACAGTCATAACTAAAAAACGAAATTCTCACCACAGCTAAAAGGGAATTTCAACTGTGCAACGTTGTTTTAAATTTTTTGATATTAGAACTGAAAAAAAAGTTATTCGATTTTGAAAAATGCAAAAATAATG